GGGCAGGGACATCTTTCACTAGATCAGGTTGCTCTAAGTCCCATCCAACCTGACATTGAGCACTTCCAATGACGGGGCATCCACAACTTCTCTGGGCAACAAGAGAATGGCCTTCATCCATGGCCTTCACCCATAAAATGTACTTTAGTGATTACATTTCAACGGGATGTCAGACACTTGTGGATCTAGGACTAATAGCTCAAACAGAATCATCCCCTGGCCGCAAGAAGTTTAGCATTTCCAAAGCATCTAAAAAGAAATATAATTTTCTTCTTAAAAGCATGTAACTTGATATAAGCATGTAACTATTTCTAAGTATACAACTATTCCGGTTGGAATATATTCATTGAATTTTCAACTGTAAACTGTTAAATATTCAGACATGATTCTGCTTATAAATGCACAACACACAGAAAGATGCAACACTTACCAACTCTTCACAGTGAGTATGTTTTAAGCGTTTAGCTATATCAAGTGGCGTCTCTCCTGATTCATTAGCTATATTACAGCAAGAAAAGAAAGTTATGATGATAGGTGTCACTATTAACGTGTCCATTACTAAAGATAAAGACAAACCTGCAGGTACATAGTGAAGTACTAGACCAACACACTCTAAAATTCAGCTCTTTCCTTCATATGTAGGTCCACCTCATACCAACCCTCTGAACATGACAAGCAGTAGCAACTCAACATGCCATATATATGGATTGATAGCCATGAAATGGCAGTATATAACTCAGCAACAAGATATCAGTTGAAAATCTTGGTACTTATCTAAATTTGTTTAAAAAGCAAGTGTAATGTATAAGTCAATTTTAAACTTGAAATAAACAGTGAATATTGTTTTTTTTTATAATGAAGATCATATTCACAGAATTATGATAAACAATTGAGGAGAAAATGCACTTATTCCACCTTCACTGTTTCTTATCTGAAGCAGTGGCAAATATTAAATTGAAGTACACATTACCCTTTTACCTATTTCAATAGAAGCCTTCCCTCTCAGCAGCAGTTTGAGGCACTCAACGTTGTCCGTCAGACAGCAGTAATGCAGGGCTGTGCTACCTTTACATGTTTGCTTATCTAGATTGCCACTATTAGAGTACAAGAAAGAAGAAGAAAGCTGATTAAACTTAGTTTCCTACGCTGTATTAATAAACTTCTCTCATTACAAGATTTTAAAAGAATAAAATTACATTTGCAAATACTAGAATTAGTTTTAGTATTTGTATTCATTTAGTATTTGTATTATTTGACATAAAAGCAGTATCAATAACATTTTAATAGCTTTCCGTACACTTACCTGTTCTGCACTAAAAAGTCAACTATATGAAGGGATGTTCGATCAACTGACCTAACAGCAAGGTGAAGTGCTGTTTCGTCTTGCACCTAAGAACAGAATAAAAGAACACATTTGTTTCTTCTGATCTACAGAGAAGCAGAAATCTTATTAAGACATAAATTAGATCAATTAAAACATTTAATTTCAAAATATTCAGACATGCTACCATTAAAACATCTCTTGTGAAGACATTTATTGCTTCCCTTTTGTTCCTTTAAAGTAAACAAACAAATGGGTTGAAAATAAATGGATTACTGAATGATTTGATGTTTAATCTTTTAATACATTTAAAATATGATAGTATTTGGAAAGAATTTTAGATTAAACTGTTTAATATCTTCTTTTGTTATTGTTAAGTTGCATCACCAAAAGGACAAGTGTTCAGAACAGTGTTTCAAATCTTATTTTCAAATAAGAAAAAATAGTCCTTTTTAATTAATGAAAGCATATTGCACATATAACAATTTGTCTAATAAAATTTACAACACTTACATGGCCATTGGCCAGTGGAATTTTTTCTGTGAGATCCACACCGTCAGCATATACTTGGACTAATCCAAGAATGTCTCTTGATTTGACTGCTTCACAAAGAGCATGTAATTTAGCCGCATTGTCAGCATGCTTTTTCCTTGCATATTTCCTCTCAATATACTTGGCAGTAATATAATCTTTTCTTGCATTCCTGAAATTGAATATAATTTACTTCTATAACTTTTAGCAGAAGATACACATTAGAATTTCCATAAATACATGCAAGTCATTTGAAATAAAATCTGGGAAAGACTATTTCTCATTAATTATGATAATTTTTCTTTTTAAATATGCATGTAAGACATGCAGTCTTGTATTTCCAGTATGAAATGTAGCTACAGAAGATTAATCAAATATCCAATACGAAGACAGACCATGAATTTTCCCCTCTGAACTCTGCTGTGAAGTTGAGATCAAGATTACCCAGCTCTACATACAGAAGATACATCAAAGCTTCATAATGCTGGTTTGCTAACAGCAGCCTGGCAGGTTTCCGTTTACCTGACTTGTACTTTTACACATGCTGGAAAGGGATGGAAGGCATGGGATACAAAAATCTGTCTTATGCCTCAGCACAGACTGTCCAGGCCTTGGATCTGTATTCACAGAAGTGAGTATGTTCTGTAAAGCAACTCTTCATGACAACTGTGACAGGGAGGATGTAGTGGAGTTTTTAGTTTCGCCTCTAAACTGAGGTGAAAACTTAGTACACTTGAATCAGCACATGAGTTATCATTTTTGCTGTTGAGATGCAACTAACAAATGACTACTCCTCTTCCCATCACAGCAGGACAGGAGCTTGCACACCTCCCAAAGGCATAACACCTTACCAGCTCTTGGGATGTACACAACATTGCACGGAAGACATTTAGCAAAGCCATACTTTATCATCTAGATACTATATAATGGGCAAAAAGAAAAAAAATCCAAATAATAATAAATTGAATCAATGGATAGCTCTTGTTCCTAAAGCATATGACAGTATTCCTTCATAGTTTTTAAAAAGTGTTTGTCTTCAGGCTCACATTTAAAAAAAACCAAATTTGATATGTAGATGTATCAAACTAAATGATTTTTTTTAAATACCATTTTTTAGAAGTCTTCTTATGCTATTGATTTAGCATTCAGTAAAATTATTAGTAACTTTAATTATTAATATTAATATTCTGTATTAATATTGATAGCGGTAGTCAAAAATAATTTAAACTGCATGGTTTAACATTGATTCTGTCAGAATGGTGAAAGTCCAGATAATGTAAAATCAGCTTCATCCAAAGCCAATTCTTCTGGGTTTGTTTCTGTGTCATTTACTAGCTCTTTTACGGCGGAGTAGTATCCAGCCAAGTAGGCAGCTGTCCTTGCTGTGTCTCTGCCATCACAGTTCAGTGTTTTCGAGGAATTCAATTAAATGTTCTGTCTTTATTCCACATAGTTATGGACTTAAGTCCTAGGTGTAGTTTCTAAACACTAGGTGTTCAGTATCTTTCAGGTAAAACGTGTACCTTAATTCAATTTCTATTTTGTATTTAAATGGCACAAAATTAATAGCTTTGTTTTTAATCCCTACCCTTGTGTGTCTTTAAATTCTCAACAAGTCATGTTTGATTTGTTTCTGTCCCACAAATCATGATTCAGAGAGTTGGTAAACTAATCCTTACTATTACGGAAGGTACAATCAGATAAAGTTCAATAAAACAGACATGCAAAGCATCAGAAAAAAGGTTTACTCCTTGGCTATAAGGCTATATATGACATACATCTTCCATGGCCTGCTGATGCAAACCATAATGGCACAACCCATTAGCAATATTAAATTAAATGCCTGTCTTTTTCAGAAGTACTGGCTCTTTACTTACATATCGCTGCTTGGATTAGGTTTGACCATCTCATCAACTGGCAGACAGAATTCCATAATCTCATTAAACCCAGCATTCCCAATATTCTTTGCAAGCTGTTAAAAAAAAGATCCACAGCTCACTTAATAAACATGTTCAGTTATTGGCCACACACATACTAGTCGGAGGACAAGGGAAAAGGGGAGCTGGGACTTTTTGTTTCTGATTCCTAGTTCTGCTACTATGTCAGTGATCGTGAACAGATTAGTAGCTTTTGGATGTCAGTTTTCAGCTGCAATTTAATACACAAACAAGTAACTGCAGAATAATCCATCAAGACACCAGTTCATACAATAAAAGCAAAATATTTTGTGCTGGGTAAGAACTCACATATGAACTGTCACAGAGCAGCTGATATGCGGTAATGTCTTCGTGTAGCAAAGCTGAATACATTTTCTTCCTTTGAGGATTAAAGTTCTCTTCTAAAATAATGCTAAATAATTAATGGGATAAGTATTTGTGAAGTCCTTCAATTTTTAATCTGAGAGGCGCATTCATATGTCAAACAGCTGTGTTCTTTTAAAAAGCAACCAAGGGTAAAAATACTTGGAAACACAAAAAATATGAAGCCTCTACTTAATTTGAATTCTAAGATCAGGCAAAGTTTACAGTAAGACACTATGTTCCAGGAGGTTCCCTTAAACTTGAAGGATTACACTTTCTTAAATAACGTTTATCCAGAGGCAACTTTCAAGATTGGAATAACATATCATTAAAGTGACAAAAATATACTTGTGTTGGAAGTATTTTATAGTACTATTTTTAAGTTAATAAAAGCAATTTGATTACCAAAAGTTCAGATGTTCCCAGCACATCTAATGTAAGTGATTGCATTCTGGAATAGTGAACACCAAGTTCTCTATGGATTCCTGAGCATTCAATGCAAGTTAGAATTCCCAAATTTGTTGAAAGCCAGGTAGGATCTGAAACAGAAAGCACCCACAGAATTAAAATTTATTCAGGTAATTATTTCATTCTAGAAAATGTAGTATATAGAAATGAAATTCTGTAAAATAAGATTCCTGTACATGAATTATCAGTTTTTTTAATTTATGTCTTTACATTTACTCTATTGGGAAACACAAACCAGGATTTTTTTAATGGCGAAAGATGTGAAGATGCAAATTTTTTTTTGTAAAGGACATCACTCTCCAAGGGAGCTGCTCAAACAGTCCAGTTTGTCATTCACCACACGGCTTTCAGGAACTGCATTTTTCCACCACCAGTATAATGGTGTCACATTCTCAATTGGGAGTATAGGTGCAGTTCAAACTGAAATAACAATGCCTACAGGTTGGGGTTTTTTTTTATTTCAAGTACAGACTTTAGACTAAGTGAAGCAGCAGTGATTCTGAAGTATACATACAGCACCACACTACAATGGATTCTCATGCAACTACTTCAAAGATACTAAGGCTCATCCCTCTCCTTTCATTACGCTTGCTTTTCTTTTCTCCTGGTATTTTGCATTCTTGCTATAACATTCCCTCATCTTCCAGACAAATAATTAATTTCTGAAGATTTAGACAGCTTAGAAATTCATTTATTTGATAAAGGTTTGGTAATAGCTATTTAGAATCTTCTCCTTTAAAGACAGCAGGATTGACTCTTCCCATAGTTTTATACAGTATCTATTGCTGGAAGTTACCATCAACTTATAAAGTGCATACAGCTTCAGATCTGATGTTTTCAGCTACAGTTTCAGATCAAAAAACCCTAAATCCTGTAATGCCTCTGTAACATAAAAGAACACAGGAAACAGCAGGATTTAAAAAATAATTTTAAGAGGATTAAAGTAGAAAATAATAATCGATCAACAAAACCAACACTGCAAACCATAGTCAGCAGGTGCACTCTTTTCCAAATGAGCACAGTCTTAGACATATTCCCTGGCTCACTCTCAAAGTCAAACATAAAAAGAAAATTTAAAAAAAAAAAAAAAAAGAAGAGAAAAAGAAAAGAGGTATATTAGGAAAATGCTTTAAGTATCTTACTGCTGTCCAGTTTTTCCTGAATCTTACGTAAAATATGGGCTAATAAAATAAGTTCAATTGATTTATATAAGCAAAAGTTACAATTAGCAAAATACATGGGAGAAAAATAAGCTTCTTTGTAACTCTTCTCCCCGCTGACAATATGCATATAGCAAATCAACCTTACTAAAGTAGCGCGATTAAATTGTTAGCATATTCTACTATGTGTATAATCTTTGTGACATAAGCAGTAAAAGTGAAAGCATAAAACATCAGCTTAAATACTCTCATGAGACATACAAGTTTTACCAATTAGAAATATGCTTAATTGAGTCACCTTGTGCTCCACAGTCACAACACACATCATTTCCAGTCATCCTCTGGACTTCAGATATAATTTCTTTTGTCAGTTCCTGGACAATATTATTTTCTCCTGTGTTATCATCTCCTTTGAATGCATTATTTAAAGCTTCCTCTTTGCTGTTTTGTAGCACAGATGTCCATCTAAAATGGCAGTAATATTTTGCTATTAAATGTTTCAGCACTTCTAAAGTTCAAGATAATGTCTCAGTAGAACACCAGTATCAGAAATAAAATTAGCAAAGTAACTCACATTTGACATTCCTGTTCATCTTCTGCTTGAAAGTGGTACGTCCTGTCGTCTGCACAATAAATAATTCACATACTGATTAAAAAAAATGATTGAAAAACTGATTTTGCAGAAATTTCTCAGAAAAATCTAAAATTAATTGACATCTGACTCCTGAGGTCTCTAGTCTCATCACTGGAGTGTTGAGAGGCAAAAAGTCTATTTAGCAAGTGTCCCTTACAGTACCTACAGTTCATCTATGTTTATACCTATGTTTACACAAGGTGGCTTGTTGCTCTTTAAACAGAAACTGTTTTCTTCAGTGCTGTGCTTCTATCACATAAGCAGCAGGAGAGCATAGTCATTTTTCCATGTTCTAGATATAACCTCAGTAATCACAAGTCTAAAGTTCTGCTAGGGGTGGTGGGGTGTGTGACTAAAATAGAGAGTCCATATTTGAGTTTATCTGTGTATATAAGAAAGATTCAAAGTTTCCAAATGAGCTCTTAAAACCACAGTAATCAAAAATGACAAAACAAATTTGACAGACACAAAGTCCAAACTACAATCAGGATAAGCCACAAGCTGTTTCAATTAAATCAAGCTAAAAAAATTCAATTTACTACAACTTCCATAATTCTAAGCATTGTTATCATAGTATACTATTAAAGAAAAAAGCATAATACATTTTAAGCCTATGAAACAAATGAGATATGATACAGTTTGGTGATTGAGCTGGAGTTAAAATTAGTATAGTTGATGAGAAGAACAGAGGTAAAGCTCCTGGCAAAAAGATATTCTAGGTTGAAATTTCCTAAGGTTTGAAAAATATTCAGGCAGAAAGGTATTAAAAGATAGTTTCAAACATGGAAATTAAGAGAGTAAGGATACATGAAAGGACAGAAAGGAAAGTGCTAGATAAAGAATAAGAGATTTTATCTTGCCATGACACAGCAATTTGCAGTTTTTAAAAAACAAGGAATGTTTTTAAACTCTTTAGTAAAACAAAGTGAAAAAGTGATCTGGAGAAGGCTAAGAGGCCAGTTATGCCTTGTTGTATATATGATGGGACAAATGATAATGTTGTGATAAGCTGATATTGGACAAAATGTGACATGGTAATCAACAAAGAAAGGAAGTGCAAAAGTAAACAGGGAAGACCACTTGCTTGTGCAGAAATGGAAAAGCTGTATCTTGCATACATGAGTACTAGTCTATTAATGTTAGTAGCATACCGTACATTTACAAATAGAGAAGAACTTTATGCTCTGACAAAGAGACAAATGAGGAATAGATTTATATTCTTCTCCCCAAATAATTTGAGATATATATTTTAGTAATGTATTTTTATTGAGCCCATAAATATAATACTAAAATGTCCCACTGAGAAAACAAAGGAAACATTCTACTATACAATTTCGTATCATCCCATTCAGTTCCCCAAATTATTCTGTTTTGGTGTTTTTAACATGCACTCTATTTATCTCACCTTTATATCTACTATGAGATAATAAAGCTAAAAAAGCTTTCAGTATTTTCTTCACAGTTACATAGCAACCACTACACTTAAATTTTAAGAAGTTTTGTCATGTTTGAAAAGCTTCTTCTGATCTTGTACAAAGTCATAACTTTCCAAAATGATCAGCTGTGACATTTTCAATATAAAGAGTGATGTCACAGCAAAAATATTCTCTTCTATAAGGCAGCACAAAATTATATAGAATGAAGGAGTAAAGATAGCTTTAAAAACAAGTGGTTTTCCAAAGAAACAGGTACAGTTAGTTGCATTATGCTAAAATAAGTGAAATGTTAAATCGTCATAGGAAGGACATTTTATAAAGGGAAAGCATTCTACAATTGTGCAAATGTTTAAGTGGATTATTGACACATCTACAGAAATAATGCAAAACCCTTTGATATTAGCTGCAAGTAAAAAGACCTAAACAACAAACCTACGTGATATGAGGTCAAAACATTTTTTCTCCTCTGGGTTTGTTTTCACTTGGCAGGTTAACAGATTGAGCTTTGCTGGAGGTCGGTTAGCCTATTTGAAGATAAAGCATACACATTTTAGCATATTGATAATGACTGAGCCCTGCAGCCCAAAAACATAGGATAACATCCCACTGGCCAAAAAGACTTGACAAATGGCTATTCCTTTAATTTTTAAGGTACTCAGGTTTTGATTTATGTTTTCTTCTGCATCATGGTTTGTAAACTACATTTTCTTATATTTGGCTATTTTGTTCACTGATAACTGTATAGTCACTAGAATTTTGAAAGGGAAGTTGGTTAAAATCACTTTAATTATCACTACTCTGATCACCTTACCAGTAACACTTATCTGAAGAAATCAGGTATGACAAAGAGACAGATTAATTTTACCTAAGTTTAATCCTCTAACATTTAGAAATTTAGTTTTAAAAAATTAGTTGTCTAGGTTTTCAATAATCAAATAATTCGACTCCTGCTAATGTCTTTAAAGAGAGCCTAGATAACAAGTTTAGAACAAATGCTCAATTTTTAAATCACTAAAGGGACACATTGAAGGAAAATAAGAAGATTGCACACAGAAGTCTTGCAACAAACGTATGCAAAACTAAACTGAGATAGTTCATTACCAAAAAATGCAGTGAAACAAAATATATTCTATAACAATATATGTTTTCTAGTCAAGTTCCTCTCAGCTATTTCAGTTCCTTATTAAATAAAAAGCAGCAATGTTTTACTAAAAACAAAATGCACAAGCAAGCTTCACTTTGGAAAAATCTCATAAAGGCTACAAAGACTTTTCAAATAGCATCTCTGCGCTAATCTCTTCTTTCCCTTAACCCACCTGTCCTACAGACCTGGGTTAGGACCTAGTTAAGATGTTAAGTTTGCAACCTTGACTTGAGGAATGGCTTGCACTTGCTACAATGGATAACTAGTTTCACTCTTCTTTTAGAATAATGCAATCAGAAAGCAGATTTAACTAGAGAGGCTCTGCTCTAGACAATAATATCTGAAAAATAGTAATTTGTTTAAATCATTACGAAAGTACTATTGTAAAGACAGCAATATACATAAACACATTACCACACTTATTGTTGCATTCTAATAATTTTAATCTATCGAGTTGCTAAAACAAGATTTAATCATCTAAACAAGAACTATTATCAAATGAAGCCGAACTACCACATAATGTAATTAACTTGCAATGAATCATAAGAAACGTACATCTTCTCAATCTCACCTAAATTTATTGATGAAAACATTTCATTCAAAAAAGAAGGGAGAATAAGTCTGAAGAGTACAGACTTCCTTGAAACAATCTGATAAAATGATGTAGCTGGTCAAAAAAGAACAACAGCATCATTATGTCTGAAGACCAGTAAAAAATCAAAACTATGAAGAAACATAAGATGGGTAACAATTACTTTTTTTTCCCCCTGTTTTAAAAAAAAAAAAAAGCAGCATGGTGTACTTGAAAAACATAAGCAGCAGACATAAAGTCCTGTATGCTTTGAAACAACAAACCTGCAGGTCACTTGCTGGGCAATGTAAAACAAATTGTACCCAAGAGAGGTTTTGAAGGCAGCAAGATGACAATTAATTGACAACCACATTGTATTCTCTGCCTAGTAAATAGCTTTTCAAATTCCAGACATTCCTTTTAGTAGTAAAAGTGCACACAGGTTTCATTATTTTAGCCTATCAACAACAAGAGTTCTTTGTAACTAGAAGCATACGAGAAAACATCTTGAAAATGCCAGCTGGGGCCCATTTTCTTGGTTATATTTAAATATACTCAATAGCCATAGCACTAAAGTTTCCAGTGTTTACATTTTTAATGTGACTGTTTGTCCAAGAAGTGTCCAGAAGCTGCCTATAATGAAAATACAAAATAAAGCAAACAAAAATTAAACATAAGTATTTGGTAAACAAGCCACTGGGCAACTCATATATACCTTTCTCACAGGCTCTATGAGAATGTAAAAACACAAGTAAATTCAGGTTAAGAAAGAATCCACTTGCCCTGGGACTTTGGACCTGAAGCACATTCAGGACCTAACTAGTTTTCTGTAACTTATGAAATATGAAGCTGTAAATGGATCCACTAAAATGCTTCAGAGAGGTCTGAAGGACCAATATACACAAAACTCCTACCTCTGGATAGGAGAATGCAGCGTAAGAACTCCATATCAGGATCTGAGAACCCAAAGAAATGGCTGCAACAACCTAAAACACATCCTGGGCCAATGTGCTGATCTTGGAATCCAAACATATTCCAAAGCTTTTAACCAAGGACCTCCTAACCTGAAGTCACCATTAACAAGGGTATTAAAAAACCCTGACATCTTTGCATGTGGCTGATAGCACCACATTCATGCTTTTATCCTGTGGCCAAATAACAGCTCTCTCCACCTGCCTCCCCAACACGTGCCCGTTACTTGGTGGACAACACACTTCTCTCACACAGCAGGTGCTGCTTGGGCAGAAGTTAGAGTCTCAAGACAAAGGGAGGCAAGGCTGTATAAATTCCTTAGCCGCACTAGGCTGTAGGTTGAACCAGATGTTTGGCAGGATTAGGAGACACTAGAAGTAGAAAATGGTAACAAACGCGTAATTGCTATTACACTATTTGTTTGAAACCTCTGGGTTTCATTTTCCTGCTTGAGTCTCTGATTAGACAATTAAATTTCAGACTACTAGTGAATTTTCAGACATCCATGGTAACACACCAACACCCTGAAAAGATGTGCTGCCACCTCTCATGCAATATGTGCAGACTTCAGCATCAAGTTGTGTTTCTTCCTGGAGAAACTGTAACCCTCCAACCACCAAAACTGACTTATATGTTCTGGCAACAAACAGTAAGTGTAGGAATCAAAAGGTTAGGCCTCTAAGACAATATCGAGGAGTGCCATGATACAGAGCTGATTTTTACAAAAGGCACGAGCAAATGTGTTCACTTACTTAACAGACTGGTTGGCTGATTTCATCGTGCATTTTTTCTGGATATCACAGTGATCTACTTAAGAATCAAAATATTAAATCTGACTCTTTTGCCTTCAGATTGCCCTGTTAATCATAATGGTAGATTAAAGTTTCCAGCAGTAAAGAAAGAACAACAAAAAAAGATTCCTTGAAAATGAGTCTCTCATATTCCTTTTTTGCAGACAACTAGCAAATTCCATTTAAGCTCTTTAAACACAAACCAACTTTGAGGAATCTGAGGTTCCTCAAATATAAGTTTTTCCCTTGGGACCTGCTGATCTGCAAACCACTTAGGAATTCCTATTTACATGGTTCAATCTGCTTCTATCATTGTTTTTTCATCTACGTATATTAAATTACAGTCAGGTAGATGTCGGAAAATTTCCAACTGCTAATTACACAAAGGAGCAATGTCTGTTTTTCCATCAACCATTACCTTGCACGTTGCTCTATGAATGCTAATTTCTTTGAAGCTTTTAGTTGTCTAAAAGTATGACTTCTGCACATATGCCAATGCAGACACATGTATTCAGCGTTACAGCTGGGTGACTGACAGAGAACCAACCATATTGTCTCCCCATCCATATCAGGAGAGCACTTGGCAGGCAAGTTTAAGTCAGAATACAGCATCTGCAACTGCCTGAAGATAGCTGTTCCAGAAACTAACTGAAAAAATAGTCCCTCATAAAAAGAGGCTACATGACCAAAGAACAGAAATCCATGAATACTTAGCCTTTAAAGGAAAAGCATTTACAAATTTGTATTTGATAAAGCAAACAAAACTGACAACTGAATTTCTGAGAGATGGTTCATTTTGATGAACAGCTGGGAAGAGAGAATGATACAGGAGACATCAACCCTGAGAAAGCTTGGAAATCAATGTTGTTGCTTCAGAAGTCTCAGAAGACATTCAGTGCAGCCCAGAAAATTCTTAACGAACAGAAATCGCTTCTACCCATTTCAAAGTCTATGAAACAAGCATTATATTTTTACATAAAACTGCCATCAATACATAAGGGGAAAGTGAGCAAATAAGTAAAAATACTTTTTAGGAGTGTATTTTAAAACAAGAAAGTGCTCTTTTAATTTTGTAATACAAAGAGATCAAGACCAAACCTGTGAAACCCACATATCTAAACTCACATTGAAGTATCTACCTTAGCAACTGATTTCCAGCTACAGCTCCACTGATTTCAGTGGGAACTTACTGCTTCTAAAAATGTTAGACCATCTGGTAGATGGCTTACAAAAAGAGAAGAACAACAGTATCTTGATAGACTCAGTAACTGTACTTGCATGTGAAAGTTTTAAAATTCTGCTCCACAAGTGGATTTTGTAGCCTCTGCCAGCTCTGAGCTGCCCTAGCTACACTCCTACTGGTACCACTACAGCATGTCCAATGCCAAGCGCATTTACAGCACACAGAGACACCAGTATAGAAACAGTAACAGACTTTTCTCTGACAAAGACGCACTCATACGCACTTGAATGAGAACAGGGATAAACTGGTGGACAATTCCAAAGCCATAGTAATAACTCTACTTTGCAGGCTTGGTTTTTCACTCCTCCTTAACTCCTGGTTGTCAGTTCAGAAGGCAACAGCTTGTGGTTAGATGCACAAATGAGAGATTGATTCATTTTTGCTGCCAGGGTCAACTTGTAGTCATAGCAACAGGCATAACAGGATGAAGAACAGAACAGTTCATAACAGGATCAAGAAACAGGACTGTTTATTAGACCAAGAATGGGAAATACTGTTACTGAGTTGATTTTTGCCTTAAGAAACCTTCTCAAAAGTTTTGAGAAAGCAATATAAGAAGAGAGAAGTTATGGGAAAGCAAAAACAACTTTGGTAAAAAATTACCAAAATATGAAAGTATAAAGTTTTAAAACTTTAAGTATAAATATTAGAAGTTTGTTAATGTGTTTTTAAATATTGGTAGCAAAGAAAGAGGGACTTCTAACTCTCTATTTCCTGTCATTCTGGTAGAAGTTGCCTTCAGAGTTGATTTTCCCCAACGGCTACTCCCCAGGAAAGCTACCTTCATAACAGATTACCATATAGCAGTAAATCTGGAGGAGAAAAGAGATTCAGCATTCTCTCAGTTTGTCTTGTAAATATAAAAAGTTTTTTAACCCATATCTAAAAGATGGCTTAATGGCCAACCATATCTTTCCAAAAAAACAAAGTTAGGATTTGTATTTTTAGATAGTCTGGTAAAATATGAACAGTTTACATGAACTAAATGAGTCATTAAAAAAGCCATTTTTTCCCCATTAACAGTCATGAGCATTAAAACAGTTGTATTTTTAGATACTGTGTATATCTTGATATATTTCTGAAAGACTGCCTTAAAAAAAAAATGTATCCATCATATTCAAAACGCTGCATCAGGAATCTAGCTAATTCCAAATTATAAATATAGACCAGCATAGCTTGCCTTTTTGTATTAGCAACCATGTACATAAAATACTGTAAACAAATACTTACTGTACCATGGGAAATTGTAAGAAAACCATTTTTAACTGAGCACTTCCTTTTCTGCCACACTTTTCTGATTCTGGTTTAAAGGGGGGGAAAAAAAAAGGTGACTCAGTTTTTAATATATTTAGAATTACATTGCTTCAGCTCTTAGGACCTAATTTTTTTTTTTCAGTAGAAGCTGGCAGTACTTACCCATCACTTTTCTTGTACAGACTACCATTTCGTTCAGTGCCATGCTCCTTGTTTCCCTGAGGCTGATGTAAACTGTAAGCTGTACTCTGACGAATCTGAGAATCCTGAAATATACAGAACAGCAATTTGTAATGCATTCCACACTTTCAACCAAAATATCCCCCCTATTAATGAGTTTCAGAGCCTTTCCTTCCTGCTCTAATCCCACAGGCCAAACGAAGCACATTTTTTCTCCTCAATGAGAGAGAACAAGATCCATTTCTTTTTTCAGAGGGCACAAAAAACATTGGAGAAGTAGCCATTATCAGCACCTGCCAAAATCCTCTTGCTTGCTTTTATTTAGCTTTACTATTTGCCTTAATATATGGGGTTTTTAAACCCAAAAATTAATTAAGCAGCAGGCTTTCCAACTCATGCGAACACTGCCGTGTACAAACACTAAAGATTATTATTACCTGCAATTCCTAGTGCACCCTTCCACTGTAAAAAAATTACATACATAAATTTGAAGAAGTGGTTTTCCTTGTGGAAACTGAGTCATGTTATTCTCTGAAAAGCAGAAGAGACCTCCTAGAAACATAGTTCAGGAGGCAAACAGGAAAATTGAAAAGTTATTTTTAAATATAATTTAAACCAAAATATCTTGAACAAAGTAGAATTCTGGAAGTGATGAGGATTAACTAAACCCTTCTCACTGTTCTCAGAACTACCCAGAGGCAGGACCCACTGCTGTGAAAGTCCAACTTCTTAAAAAATAAGAACCTGATAATGAGGAATCTAATGTGTCATACTATATTAGCAGCAGTAACATGATGGGATGGACTTTTCAATGCATACAGTAACAATGACTAGTACTTACAATATTTATTATTTTCTTTTCGACTATCTTTGCTCTGTGGATGTAATACGCCTCTGTTATACATGGCGGATAATACAAGTATAGCGAGGAAAAAACCCACAAAGAAAGCAGGTCACTTAAATTACTATCTGAGCTATTCTAAGCAAAAACTTAAGAGCTATTAAGAAATAAACTTACTAGTTTGATAAAAAAACTCTTTGCTAAAAAGATGAGATAGTGTGTCTCAGATATACTAGGAGTACGATCACAAGATACATCATTTTGGGTTTTCAGAGTGTACACATGATAAAATATACAGTGATCTAAAAAGTATGAATTAAGAAGATAGATATTTTCTCTCTAATTACAATTAGCTTCATACACTTTATTAGCCTAAGTATAAGACATCTCTGGATATAAGCAAGGCAAAAAGACCAACTAAAACCAAGAACACACTTGGACTGTGCTTCTTCCCAGAGAATGCCAGCTCAGATGGAATGCTGCTCCTTTACAAGCTCCAGCAGCACATTCTGCTACCAAAGCTATTAATGCAGCCAAAGCTGTTCAGCATCGTCCTCAACAGTAGTGGCAACACATGACGGGTCCAAAATATGGCTGTAGGGACAGAGCTACCACCTACATTCCTGTTCAGTGCACTTAGGACTCCACACCTCCAGGCTGCAGGATTTCAGGCTCATCCTGAGTACGGTGCTGGAGCTCAGTGGTCCTGAGAACCATGAGCTGAGCTCAAGGCAGGCTGCAGCACTCCTTGGTGCTCCTTTTCAGGAGAAGCAACCTGTGCCCACTTCCCTGTCTCTCAGCTAGTGATCTAGGAAGCCGTATCAGGTAACTACAACATTCATCTAAGGCTTTTAAAGGTGCTACAAAACCACCACTTAAACGTCCATGCCTGACAAAGCATCCCTTCAGTTTTAAAACCAGTCTGTTTATCATTCCTCTCCAGCCTGTTTACATAGAATTATTTGGTTTTGCACTCTGTCTGCCCAACATACAACAAAAAGCATTCTCATCACTGATTAAGAACCGCCGCACGCATACATTTACTGACTTCTGAAGAAAATCTGATCTGTCACTGCCTATTGTGTCCTACCAGTGCCTTGACCTCTGCCTCCCATTAGTCAGTAAAGGAACTCCATTCCCAAGAAGATTAGAGGCCTTACAGGAAATTAATTTCAGTTCTCCACATCGTCAATTAAGCAAAGATTTCAGATGACCTCCAACACCTGCTCATAGCTCTATTCCCATTACTTAAGACTGTGCTGCTACTTTTTGTGGACTATTTTCTGCTGCATCTCGGCTACCTCCCTTCAGCTGTTGTTTACGCTCAGCTGTTGTGTTTGGCCAAACTGGCAAGCCAATAATACAAGCTTCCTGCCTTACTTCAACCAGAGAGGAAGCTGCTGTAGCTGACGTGTATTTCCACGCATTCATTATTATGAGCAGTATCTTTAAAAAATTTAATACTACTTCATGAAAGGGAATTAAGGACAAGACAAGGAGATTTTCAATTTTAAATCCCCGTTTCAGGCCGTGGCCAAATCAATAGTGTCCAACGTGATTGCCAGATGATGGTTTTCCACAGCTCTCTGACAAGCAAGTTCATGATTTTGATCTAGCTCCTAACAGACAGGATGCCATACCACAAATCACCATCACAATTAACATCCTTCTGGGCAATTTCAGCATGCCTTTTTCATATGCAGGCTCCACAGAGGATCTTCCCTTATTTCTGGTTTGCATATTGCATGTAACAGGAGTACAAATCACAGATAACAGGGGCAGACCCAATGGCCTCATCGGAGGAGCAGTAACAATGTACATTACCTATGGGAGGAAATGGATCACTGCAGGATATAGGACATACCTAGTGCAGAGTACTGTCATTTCAAATATCTTTTGAACATAACGAGATCAGAACAGACTGAAGTACACAAGCCTAAGAAACTGAACTTTGTCCACTTTATCAGCTTTGAAATGCAGATAGGCATACAGAAAAGAAGGTGAGTCATTTCATTGCAGCATGTTTATAGTGAATCACTTCACTGACCATAAAGAGGTTTGAAATTATTTCTTCCAAAGACTGACTGACTTCTAAATCAAGCTGAATAGCACAGTTAAAAATGAAAGAAATGTGAAAACAGTATTCTGTAAAGATGGTCTGTGACTACTGATAAGAGAGTTTCTAAAAACCTATTTATCAGCCCCACTATTTGAACACAGCAGAACTTTCCACACAAGGTGCTTTAACTTATACACGGCAAATTTTGGCCAGCCATTCCACAGCTCCCATGGAGCAGGATTTTAGACTGTCAGGATCACTCCTGTGCATAAAGCTGCCAAAAAGCCCTTACAGCTCTCCAAGAGCCTGAGCTTCTCTTGCATTTGCAGGATCATTGCCAAGAGGATGTTTCAGAGATTCACCCCTTATCTGTTACAGCCCCACAGACCCTCCAACAGATATATCTGCCAGAACCCCCTGCAGGCAGCCTCTCCTATAGCACAGCTACCATAAATTTTTGTCAAGAAACACAAAATGTATCCTATTTTGCAGTGGCCTAAATAGATTATAGGTTCTACCAAACGTGTAGAAGAAGCAGAAGCAAATCTAAACACTACAGTAAGGCTACCTTCAGAGAGGACACAGGAAAGAGAGAAATGAAGGCAATACGACTTTAAGGTTGATCCCGAAACTTGTGGGAGCTCTACAGTTTGAAAAATAAAAGTTCAAAAATTAAAAATTACAGATGTGTACACACAATGATGTTTCAAAAAGAAGTTTCAATACAAACCAGGTTTGAGGAAGTTCTGTGCAGGAGGAAACTATGTATACAGGCACAACAAAAAAGGTTCACTATGAGTATTTGTGTCTTTTTTTTTAAACACAACAGAAACAATATTTGTCAACGTTCTATTATTTCATATGTTAAGTCCATTTTAAATAAAAATACATATATCTTCAAAATCTTGCTAGAACATCAAATCAAGCAACTGGATTTAATTCCCAAAAAAGAGTGAAAAGGAAATCACCAATTTGTCTTACAGCAGTTTTCTTTCCCAAGAACAATCTGATAAGTTTTTTTTGGTAAAACAACAAACAGAAGAGGGAAAAAAAAAAACCAGTCTTTTCATACAAACAGAAAAAAGCTGAGAGGAAAAATCCAGTTTCTTGAAATCTGAATAGAAATCATGCCAACTATTTTCATTAAAACATAGTAACACTTACTCTCCTAGACTTCGGTCACAAAATGTAAATGCATTTCAGGAAGGAAAAAGAAATCAGTTATAGTAAAGGAAATTACAGTGCAACAAGAATAATATTACTGGGTCGTACAGTAAATTATACCAGGATTTTTTGGCATCCCACTGATTAATTCATGTTTTCAAAAAAACTTTAAAAATAATTATAGTACTTCTCACGCTTTGCAGGTAAGCATCTATATCTAAACTTGCAGAATTAATAAATAATGAATATAGCATAAAACATTTTTTACATTTGTATTTTAAAATGCAACAAAAGCAGTACAACTAATTAATTTATGTATATTATTACATTTTTCAGTCTGTTAAAAGATGTGTGCCCACCACACCTTCCATATACATTTAATATCAGTATCACTGATAAACAGGTAAACATAGAGAAGCAATATTCCCAGCAACCATGAAACCCAACTGCTTCTATTATCTCTCTTGAACAAAGACCCGAATAAAACAGGAAGCTTGCTAACACACCCTGAACAGCAAAGACTCCTTACTGAGGGTGGGCAATCAATGGTGAATCCAAAGTAGTCACTATTTCCACTAGGATCACTAGTCTTTAATTCCACAGAGCTCAAATTTGGAAGTTTTTAGCAAATGCACCCCTCAGTGAGTCCTAATTACCACAGGCAGAACCTAAGAAAGTGCCTGCAAACTATATGGGACTTTGTACACAACATTATCACAAACTTCACATGGTAACAAACAGAACCTCAAAGTGAAGAGGGTTTAAGGATGTTCAAATGCCTATCAGCAAGTCATAGAATAACAGAATGGTCCGGGTTGGAAGGGACCTTTAAAGATCATCTAGTCTAACCCTCCAGGCCACGGGCAGGGACATCTTCACTAGATTAGGTTGCTCAACAACCATCATCTGGCCACCTAAGAGCTAGGAGTCACCATAACCTTTAGGGGAAGATGAAAGCAAGACCGGAAAAGATCAAGGAAGTCTGAGCCCTACAGACTAAACTATTTCATTGTGATCCCTCTCAGAAAGAGAATCTGAAAAGGGGGGTAGGGGGTTCATTCATCACTTACTCATGGCCCAGCAGCCACACAAAGGAAGCTGGCTGGCATTTATTTATATGAAGAGGAAGCACTAGCAATCTGAAACAAAAGTACACCTAATATTTATGACTTGATTATACAAAAGATGCTTGCTTCCAAACCAGAGTTTGCCAAATAAAACTACTTCAGAATTCTTTAAATCTAACAGCAATCATAACCGAAACTCAAAAAAATACTTATTTGTTAGATTGCCAAACTGACCCAGCTCTTGCATGTTTGAAAACTGGCATCTTGCAGCAGAGTAGCAAACTTAATTGTCATTATTGCAGATGATGACAAGAGGTGTTTGCGGATTTGAAGTTCAGTTTTACATAAACTTTATACAGTCTGGAATAGTACTGTGAGATAAGATTGTACTAATGGGGTCTCCTTGATACTGCCAAAGTTTTTCCATTCTCAGTTTGAGCAACATAGACACCATTGTCTGTTAGGTCACAGACAGTGCACCATCTTAAGTATTTTGCAATATTGGTAACAAAAAGAAATTATTTTGCAATAAGTCTCATATATTTTTAGTGGGAATTAATTTAAAAAAAAAAACTGCCTTTGTCAGAAACATTCAATATCAGCATCAAAACAAAGATTAATAAACAAAAGAAATTAGGTGGCTGATAAAAGTTAAAATAACTCTATTTCAAATACTAACGTTACATTAGAAGTAATTAAAATGGGTATTCCAAAGTTAAACCCCCTTATATGCTCACCTCTTTCTGATCAACCTGGAGTGCTGATTTTAAAATATCTCTAAGCTGTGTTAATTGTCTTCTTTCCTCATCTTGTGCTTGTTTAATCTTGAATGAAAAAAACCACAGGTTAAAAATATTATTATTATTTCTTTTCAATGCAGTTCTTCCAAACTTGCTACTTAATTGGTTCATTTTTCTGAGAAATGTTCAGCAAGAATGAAAACACAAAGAGAAAAGATAACGTGATCAGTTTATTTTCCTTTATATCTTCAGAAAACTTGACAATGGCTAGGATGTTGCTGGGTTAAGACCTCACACTGTTCTTGCTTCCTTGTGTTCAATTTGAAACCATATGTTATTTTCCACTTAGTCAGTAAACATTTTAGAGCAAAGACTGTTTTCCTAACATTTTACACAGTGGGGTCCCAAACTGAAACTAAGGCTTCTGGATATGATATTAAAACAAAATTTTACTCAAAAATCTACTCAAAACCTTAAAATGCTGACTATTAAAACAGTCAGCCAACCTGAACTAAAATGAACACAGTTCTGCTGTAAAAACCTAAGTTTACAACACAAATGTGAAAGGTTGCTACTCACTGTATAGAGATCTGTCGAGAGAGTCTCAATTGAAGGCTTGAGACTTTCAACTGCTTTTAACCCATCCTGAAAGAAACTTAAAAAGAAAAACAAAAAGTAAACTGTTATTAAACTTTACTTTGTATTTTCTGTTTAAAAAGTTGCCAAAGGAAGACGTGCATGTTATGCCATGCCATAAACTTCAAAACATTAAACATCTATTTTTTTATGCATCTTCAACTGATCCACCTCTTTATTTCCATCATAGCTTATTCTAACATGCAAAACCCCCTATTAGATTCAGAACTGCCACAATTCACTGCCATGTAAGTTTTCCTCATTCTCACCTCAAATACAGGTTCTCATGCTAGTTTTTGAAGGCCCTGAACAATTAAGATTCATTTGTAGAACAGCAAAAGCTCTAGTAGATACAAAACAATTCTGACTTCTTGGAGCCAAATAATTTCACGTCTGATGCAATCTTCCTACTAAAGGAAAACCCCTTTGTTTCCCAAGCATTAATTATGGCCTATATGCAAACTGAATATGCTACATGCTACTGTATCATATGTATTTTTGTATTGGCACAGTAATGTTATCTATGTGAAGTATTGCAGCTCTTAAAAAAAAAGTGAGATTTAAAAAATACACTTAAAGAAACCATAACTACACGCATATTTGATTAAAAATTGCTGCACCATTTGCAACAGAAAACATTTTCACTCCGGGAAGCAGACATGAAAGTGGCAACACAACACTGTTGTGTTTATGCTGTTGAAATTTTATTAAATGGACAGAGCAGATAAATGACATACAACAAGTGAAACTGATTTTAAAAGAGACATAGCTATATAGGGAAAAAACCTACCTAGATGCACACTGGTCTTTTAAGATGAAAACTTACCCATTTGAACAGGTTAACAGCAGCTCTTTCAAGTTTATAGCTATGACTTTGTTGCTATACTATTGATCTGTAAGACTATCATTAAAAAGTACATCATTCTAATGAGAGCTTTGTGTTTTATTACTGAGTCCTCCAATTAATTAGAAAAAGAGTGATTCTTTCAATATAGTTTTATCCCACTGCTTATGCAATTTATTTTTCTTGAGCACAGAATTAATTTAGATCATTGCTAGATACACTCAAAAAAGCCCATCAAAACTAACAGACCACTAACTAATAGACCAAACTAATAGCTCTGTTTCAAGAGTAGTTTACAAAATATGCCAAATTATTGTGCAGCACTCCTTTGGAACAGACAATTATATTCTATGGGACTAGTTCAACCTCATTACATGTTTCACAATACAGTAACAAAAGCAATGACTAATCTGTGACAAAAGCAATTTGTCAAAAGACATCGGTGAGAACAGCTGAATCTTGATTTATTTTGAAAAATCTAGAAAAGTGTTATGATGATGTCAAAAGTTTAAAACAAAACATTGTTCCAGTTATTGTGTAGATATAAAGAAAACTAAAACATACTTGCACTGAGCATGAAAATACTTGATCAAGTTCTGAAGCAAGTCCACTCCTTTTTTAATCTTGATCTCATTGACTTTCAGCAGGTACTGTTAAAACAGTAATTCACAAAAGAAATTAATTATTACTGCTACAGTGGTTTTTTAACATTTTATTTTCAGTTATATTTCAAGAAGCTTTAACAGTTGCAGATTTAGAAGACCTAAAAGAAAATGCATCAAACAGTGGCTTCAAGGGTTAATCACACAAAAGCAACTGTTGTCACCCCTGATTTTTGATACCCTGTGGGAATACTTCACTGTGGTTAGTTCAAATTGTTAAAACATCCTTCATGGCTCCTACTGGAAGCCTGTATTAAAGGAAGTATAAAAGGGTTTGTGTAGTAAATTTAGGAACCCATTATTAAACCTAGCAGCCCATCTACGTATCTATCTCGCCAGTTGTTAAATTCATTGCTAAATAGATGTCATTAAGGAAGAAAGCAGTTTACTCAAAAAAGTGAGGGATTATTTTAACCATTTTTTAAATCTGCCTTCTGATTTTATCATTTTCTCTATCAGTTCCTTATACACGGTAATTACAGCAAATTACAGTTTAGCAAGAGATTTAAAAAATCTACTGTCAAGCTAAAAAAAAGTGTAGTTAGTGTCCTTTTGCATTAGGCACAATCAAAGTCCATATTAAGTGACAGCTCCTCCCCTGAATGCCATAGCACAAAAGACGTCAGCCATGCAAGCAGAAGTAAGATTCACCAAATATTTACAGGAGTCCTTAACTGTCCATTAAATGACAAAAATTTTTAACCCCTGCTTAGACAGTGACCACCAAGCAAAGGAGTGAATGTCTTCTTAGCAATGCTTTAATGCATGGTTTTCCCCTACCCGCAGTACACCCTAAATGTTTTAAACCCACTAAAATAAAGCAGTATCCAAGTGTCAGCTTTCAATGTTGCAGCTTTTTATGCCGATTCAGGTGAACAGATGATTAGCCTAAATGTAGACGTGTGCACTGGATAGTATTTAGCTAGAAGAATCACCTTTCTAGCTCCTGTTAATTTAAAATGGAGCTCTAGGCATCTGCTTTTTGGTTCACTTTCACAATTTATAGAGAACTAGCCTGTACTTATGACACAACTTCAATATGTCACACTTCTGATTTACTAACAAAACCAAAACAAAGTCCCCATTTATGACTATTCAGAGGTAACCGAGTATAAACTTCTTTTCACAAAAATCAGAAGAAATACAGGATACACTGCAGCTATTCCACGTTTAAGGTAACTTGATTCAATTTCACAGACTTCACCCTGCATTTTATTATCACAACTGACTAAAGTGAACTCCTCCTTTACTGTGACACAGGAAAAGAGAAGCATCTGTTCCTGGTTGTTTCTTAGGAAGGATACAGATGGGCAATTAGCTGGCAACATCCATATGTTTATTGGGTACTCAAATGCCTTCATCAGTTTTGAATACTTTAGTCTGACTCCGTATAGGAATGTGAAGCTTTTCTACTAAGTATCAGTGCACGCACTTACTAAAAGTGGTATTCAGGACAACTACTGTTAAGCTATGTTGGCATATGAGTCAAATTAGCTCTAATCATCATAGTAAAAACAGAAGAAACACCCGTGGTGTATTTTTGAGTTAATGCATAGAAAGAACAAACACAGCAACTTGAATTCCCAACCACAGAACCTGGCATGCCCTTAAATGAATCGAACCAAAAATAGTCACATCAGATTTAACATACTGCAAAATCACAAAGATTTCAAAGTAGAAACATTCTGAAACATCTTGAAAGACAATGGGATTCCATCCTTAGCACTTTTTTTTCAGCACCAGTCCAACAGTGTGCTAGACTGGAGTCTCTCTTCAAAATAATGCAACAGCTGTCAGTGTAGGGAACAATTCAGAGAATGATCTAGGGCTTAAAATAACTTACAGTGAAGTAGTAGTGTAAAGGCTTATTTATTATCATCTCTTACTGTTTAATTGAGCTTTGAATTATTTATTTATTCTACAATTTACTTGTTAAGTGAAATTAGAAAAGATCTAAATTCCCTGCAAAGTTAGCACATCAGGATAAAAAAAAAAAAAAAAAAATTTAGCAAATGGAGTCCATTAATAACTTGGCATTTCCCCTTAACATCACAGTTGCTGTTAAACAATTGTGTTTTTCAAAATTTTCCTAAAAATATTAGCAGAACAATATGAATTTCACGTTGAATCTTACCTCACACATCTGTAACTGGAAGAACCTTCTTTCTTTCTCCATCTCTTCTGCAATTTCAGCTCCACTTATTTCTGTACTGGAGTCCATTAATAACTTGGCATTTCCCTTTAACATCACAGTTGCTGTTAAACAATTGTGTTTTTCAAAATTTTCCTAAAAATATTAGCAGAACAATATGAATTTCACGTTGAATCTTACCTCACACATCTGTAACTGGAAGAACCTTCTTTCTTTCTCCATCTCTTCTGCAATTTCAGCTCCACTTATTTCTGTACGGATCATCCCATGCAGCTTAGCATGCTCTTTTTTCTCCTTCTCTATTTTTGTACTATAAGGCAAAGAATCAGTCAACGAAGTGAGAAATCCACAGCCTCTTAGGAAATCTGATTATTCACAAAGTCTACTGACAGATGCAGAGCCAAACTCTTGTAGCTTTGCATATGACTTACTTCCAGATGACATTTCATTTGAAATTTGACAATGACTAAAGATCAGCAATGACATACAGTAGCTGAAATATAATTCAATCATCTGTTAATATAATGTCCTGACAGATATTCCAAAAGAAGATACTAAATGAGAGGAAGATACTAAGTTCTTGCATTGAAGAAAAAAAAAAATCCAGAAACAAAATAATGAACTTTAATTGAAAACGTAGGGGGATGTTTAATCCCAACTGACCAAACACTGGTTAACAGAGTTCAATTATGTCACCAGATTTATTGAGTCTTGCCTGTCATCAAGTCATCTTCTATATATACAGGGTTTCCTAAGCCAAAATCACAGTTGCCATCTCTACTTGCTACTGAGCCAGTTGGCACTGGGAATGCCGGCCAGCCGGCTGTGTTGCAGACTTCAAAGTCTGCTAGACCAGCTGTCCTAATTCCCTAAAAGTTTCCATGAACATTTTCCAAGAGCTCTGAATAAAACAGGTTCTCCTGCAGAATATAAATGAATAAGCAATGCCTGCCATACAGTATAGCTCCCCTAAACACACTTGTGCATTTGTTACAGCTATTCTCCATATTATTCCTAAAGGCAGTAGCATTAATTATACTACCCAGTTAGACAAGCCTGATATGAAAAAATATATTAATAAAAGAAAATACATGAGGGTGTTCACTTTTTGGAGAAAGACGTTTAGTTTGCCACTTGTACTGTTTAGAAGCTGAAAATTCTGGAAAGAGCTTCCTGCGGAAATGCTATACTGCTTTTGGACAAGAGGAAGCATTACACAGGAATACAGGAAGCAGATGAGAGGAACAAACAACACAAGCACTGTCGTACCTTCTCTTGGGCGGTCAAGTGTCTCTCAGCTCTCTCTCTGAAAAGATGACATTTCTCAAGTGCTCTCTTAACCTGATGTTAACATTACCCTAACAGCTTATGGGAAAATGTCCTAGATGGCCTAAGGACTTCCAGTCAACAATATATTCTGTACTTACACTTCTCAAGAATGAGGAACTGCCTCCTCTTACACCTCAAGCAGAAAGGGAAAACTAGAATTAATCCCATTAATCCCATTCTGTAACATTCCCACAGGGAAACATTTTGAACAGCAGTTCAAAAAGCCCCACTGCACTCTCGGTAGTGGCAGGCATGGCAGAGCCAGCCCTGTGCAGTATTCCAGCAGCCAGCACATCCAGCCAGCACTGCGCTCCTTCTCAGCTCTTCGCGTCCCACCAGAAGCAGACGTTCGGAGGGAATCTCCTCTTCTTGAAATAAATAGTCTGAAAACCTTCACTTGCCTGAATAAACACTCAATTCCAGAACGTTGTTTTCATCAAAAATAAGTCTGTACTCTTACCTACTTACTGCCAATTATGCCATTTTGTAGCCACAGAATACAGAGTCCAAACACAAGAATTAACCAGACATTAACCATGAACAAGGAAGATAAACCATTACAAAAAAATTCACAGAAAATGACAAATACGCAGCTCCTTTCTAGCACACACTCTAGGAGAGTTTACATTATATCATACTTGATAGTTCTAAAAACATCAAACCTCAGAGCAAAGATCCAGGATGGTTTTAGTTCTCTCAATTTCCACATTAATCTAACAATTCATGAGGCCAGAGAATTCACTGAAATGTGAGTCAAGTCTAATAACTATCAATTGCTATTGTATTGTATTTTCATTGTTTACAGAGAACAATACTCGAACATCAGATGACATAACCACCTCTAAAATGTTAAGAGCTTATTAACATGTCATTAGGTGTCTCTAAATGCTAGTTAAACCAAAAGACAACTAATACTGCCAAAGAGTCAAACATTATGTGCAATATTACAGCATACATTGTTTTAAGAAATTGAATTCCTTTTCAAGAAAGAGCCAGATTTCGGTGAAAGAGTCCTTTCTACTTTTTAAAGGATGAATCATACTCCACAGGCAAAAAGTAGTTAAACCAAGACTAAAGCATACTGACATCTACCAAGTAATTCGGAGAAATAAGACATCCTTGAAGCTGTTCACTGGAGCTTCAGGCTCCATGGCTTCAAAAACTTCAGAGATGCTTTACAAAAAAACCAAACCATCTCTCAGTGACAAGAACCAGAGATACATGATGGTGTATTTCACATTTGCATTTCCTTATTATTTATGCCTTTAGTCTCCAACTACTTTTTCAGCTTTGTAATCCAGAATTTAACCTGTTGTTTTGCTACAGTAATATGCTACCTCCTATCTGACTGATACTACAGGGCACTTTGTTTCTAGGGAAACAAAGAAACCACGTACAGCAGTGTTGCATGCAAATCTTCGAGTGCTATAGGTTGGCTGCGTTTGCTATCCAAATGCAAGGGTCAACTCAGCTTCAAGTGTCACTCTACTGTGACATTAACCAAATCCTTCTGGCAAAGACAGTTCTACAATGTACCACTGTGGGATTTCCAAATATTGCAGGGTATTCAGGTTTTCCAGGCAGATCAATTAAGCAAAATTATTAAGAAAATTGGGAAAACTCTAGAAAAATCCTTTAGAAGCAGTAAGAAGGAAGCAAATGTTTTGTAAAGCTGCTGTTCTTGAAGCTCATGCAGCACATATCACATATATAGACTTTGCTGACTAAGATTAAAATCTGAACACACTTCAGTCCATTTACAACACAGCTGCACATGACTAATATACAGTGAGCTCCAGTTTGTGTAAGACAAGTAAAGCTGAAATACAGGATGAAGAATTACAACAGAAAAGTCGATCAGATACAAAATGAACAGTCTTGCCCATTCAGTTTCCACTATATGACTATTTTTACAGCTCCAATTTGAAAAGCAACTGGTTTTCAATATAATTTTTAATTTGTATTTCAAAGAAATCAATTTTGTCATACAGATCATGGTATAAATAAACATCAAATTACGCATTTTTTTTTTTTTAAACTTTAAAAAGGACAGGACCTATTTTAGTGTTTAACACGCCAAAGGCTGGTATTTATTTTCAGCCAGTGAACAAGGGTAAACAACTAGAACACCCTCTGTACATGCAGCAGTAGTGAACTGCTGGCTGGGCAGCAACTCTGTCTTTCTTCCTCTCCTTCCTCATATAGCAGTAAGACAGGCTGAGACTGGGTATGTACGTGAGAAGGTGCAGAGACTGGGAATAGCACCTGGAAGGCACAGACCTCAATGGGGAGCACTCTGGAAAATGGAGTGCTTCCAAGGGCTATTTTGTTTGACAAAATAGTATTATACATTTTTATTTCAAATATCCTTTCTTTGTCTAGTCTTCCTTTTCAGCCTGACTCTCCAACTTCAGCTCTGGCATCCTAGCCTTTCAGTGAAAGAGCCTCTATCTTATTTCATCCTACTGTCTGTCAAGGCTGACAGTAAAGCATGACTCTCTCTCTCTCTCTCTTATCACCCAAGTCCTGAATGGAGAAGTCATCTTTTCCCTTTCAAAATGCTGGAAAACTTTTCCCTTTCACTCATCCTGCACTGGAGGATGGGGGAGAAGAGGGCAGAATGAGCAAAACATGTCCAGATCTTTCCACTATTCATCCATAATATCTGCAGATTCATTCAAAGCTTTTTCCATTTAATTTGCAGGTTACCTCTTTCAAAATAAAAATACTTAATATAAAATCTCAGGCTCAAAGCAGTATATTGTGGGTGTTGTTTACCTGGACTTTAGTAAAGCCTTTGACACCGTTTCCCACAGCATTCTCCTGGAGAAACTGGCTGCTCATGGCTTGGACAGGCGTACTCTTCGCTGGGTAAAAAACTGGCTGGATGGCCGGGCCCAAAGAGTTGTGGTGAATGAAGTTAAATCCAGTTGGCAGCCAGTCACAAGTGCTGTTCCCCAGGGCTCAGTGGCCAAGAAGGCCAATGGCATCCTGGCTTGTGTCAGAAATAGTGTGGCCACCAGGACTAGGGAAGTGATCATGCCCCTGTACTCGGCACTGGTGAGGCTGCACCTCGAATACTGTGTTCAGTTTTGGGCCCCTCACTACAAGAAAGACATTGAGAGAGTGTGTCCAAAGAAGGGCAACAAAGCTGGTGAAGGGTCTAGAGCTCAAGTCTTATGAGGAGCAGCTGAGGGAACTGGGGTTGTTTAGCCTGGAGAAAAGGAGGCTCAGGGGAGACCTCA